TGCCTTTTCCCCCACATCTTTGCCAAAATTTTGTTTGTACTTCCGATATTTGCCATTCTGACTAGGGTGAGATGAAATCTTAGAGTAGTTTTGATTTGCATTTCTCTAATTGCTAAAGATGTCTTAACCCAATCAGTGAATTAATCCTCTGATAGGGATTAACTGAGTGGTAACTGAAGTGGTRGGGTGTCTGGAGGAGGTGGGAATTGTGGCATGGCTTTGGGTATATATTTGAATCTGGCGAGTGGACTCTCTCTCTGCTTTCTGATCACAATGTGAGCTGCTTCCCTCTGCCACACTCTTCTGCCATGACATCCTTCCTCACCTTGAGCCTTGAGGGATGGAGCCGCCTTCTAGGGACTAAGACACCTGAACCGTGAGCCTTGAAATAAACTTTTCCTCCTTTAAAATTGTTCTGGTCAGATCCTTTAATCACAGCAGCAAAAATAGCTGACTAAAACAACTGTAAATTAATTTCTATCAATATTTATAACCTTTATTGTAAAGTCAATCAATGGGAATAATTCACAATGCCTATCTGCATGTCAAAACCCTTGAAAATTCCAGAGATAATACAACTGGTTTATCTTACTATTCAAGAAACTACCAAATTATTTAGCCTTGGATACCCATTCAATCTGGGCATGTAGAACACACTGAAGCAAACACTGGTTTAATTAAGATAGTCTAGAAGACCTCTGTCCTAAAACTGCACCATATTTTTAATGAATTAGTAGGTTTTTCTTAGTTTGCATTTTATTATCAAATAAAGAAAAGCAATTATTTTTTGAGCCATTCTACCCAACCACAGGATCCAAATATCACCAAACTGGTTAAGCCAGTTGGCTTCATACATAGCACCTGTGCTAATGAAATGTGCCTGTGGGAACACCAACACCTCACCAAATCCTAGAGGCCTGAATGGAAGTGACGGTGGAGGAAGCACACAGTGGAAACTGATTACCAGAAAGGAATGAATCACTATTGCCAGAAAGTCTGCCCATCTATTATTTTTAATTTCTTTCATTTAGCATAATGTTTGTAAGGTGATTGCATGCTGTGACTGGTACTTCATTGCTTTTAATGGCCATGAAATACTCCACTGTAGACATACCACACTTTGACCATTCATCAATTGATGGATATACTCTACTTTTTGGCTTTTGAATAATGTAGACATGAACATTTATGGGCAGCATTTTGGGGAACACGTYTTCATTTCCCTTCTCTGTATGTCTAAAAGTAGAATTGTCAGGTCACATGGAAACACTAACGTTCTGGAGAACTGCCTAACTCTTTTCCAAAGTGGCCGTACTATTTTATATTCCAAGAGCAATAAATAGGGTCCCATTTTTTTTCTACMTTCTTGCCATTATTGTTAATCTCTTTTTAAATTTTAGCAATTCCAATGACTCTCTGCATGTCTTTTAATTGAAGAATATCAATTTATTAAATATTCAATGGTTAAAGAATTTAAAAATTCTTGGAAGTCTGACTAGTGCAAAAAATAAAGTAGGAAGAAAAGGAGAGAGAGAGAAAGAACATGCTGCCCARGCAAGAATTACCTCATTGGTTTTGTCCTTAGTGCTGTCTTTAAGCTTTCTATAGTTTTACTTCTCTCTTCTTCTTCTTCCTTCTCTAAAGCCAGCAGGGATTTTCTCTATGCAAAGAAAACAAGTCACTTCTTCAAATTGTACTTTTACTTATCATATAAACAAGACAAGTCCACAGATTACATGCTATTATCCAATAATTCATAAATATGCGATTAAGGTTTACTACCAGTTAAATTATAGAATAGCATCACCAAGAATTCCATTTATTCTTTTTTTTGTTTTGTTTTTACTACAAGGCTTTTTAAATTTTAAATAACATTTTAGGGAAATGTTTAGAAATCATAATTGAGATGAAGTTGCCCAAATGCTTAAGTAACTATTCTGTAATTGTGCCCTGATATTGATATTAATATTCATAGTTGATGAAAGACTAGACCTGTAGCTGAGCACAACATTCTGGCAATTAAAGTTAATATTGTCACACTATCAAACAGAGGAAGGGGCAGCAATTTTCCCATACTATTGCTCTCAATTATGAGTCAAAAAGTGTAATCAAGATCAAAAGGGTTTTGTTATACCCCAAATTTTAAAGACCAACACTTAAAATGGACCTGAAACTACAATGGATACTTCTTCCAGATTGAATGTGTTAACTTCCTGAAATGCTTCAATGTCATTTAGAAATCAGGATATAGATAGAGTYGTGTGTGTGTGCGTGTTTGTGCTATCCTGGGATCTGTTACAGCAGGGCTTCTTAAACTTTAATATGGACATGAAAATAGTATCTTGGCATCTTTTTAAAATGCAGGCTCCAATTTAGTAGGTCTGGGTGAAGCCTGAAATGTTACATTTCTGAAAATTTTTTTAGGCAATGCTGATACTGCAGGGGTAAGATATTAAGCAGGCACTTCTTAGTTGATATTAAAAAGTCATAAATACAGTAAGGTTCACAGTCCTTTCCACTCTACTGCACTCCATGATCACCTGCTTGTTCCAAAGTACCTCCAGTCTAAGGTCCCAGGACTTCCACCCATGAAGCTACAGGTCCCTTTCCTTCATCCTACTCTAAATACGTTCTTGTCCAGTCTCAATTGTTTCATCTGTTTCCAATTCTGATAAAAGGCTWGACTGGAAAACAGATTGAGGTGGCTGCATAGTCAAAGAAAAGCTCGGCTCTTATCCATGGATCTCAATGATCCAATCTCTGCCTTTCTTTCAGGATCACAAGTCATCAAGGGTGACTTTATTACTGTAAATCAACAGTATCAGTATTAAGTAACTAAATGTTCATTAAAACCTAAGTTTGGCCACATAACAAGAAGGATAAAACCTAAAGCAAATGAATACACCAGTCTCTTTTATGGCCACTTTAATAAACAGCAGTAGAGCTGCTGCTTCTTTTACTTCTTCATTTTTTTTTTTAGCTTGTTATTGTTTCTGCTAAAACTGTCCTCTTGCTGGTGATGCRTCTGGACAGCTGTCACCAGAGGATAGTAGGAGAAGAAACTGTGTGCAGAAATAACCAATGAATTCCTGCAGAGCTCTGTGGGACCCATCCCTAAAAAATTTAGCACAAATCCAGCCAAGGATGCTTAATCTCCAGTGGCACAGCTGAATTCATTTGTACTCTTAAGCAATCACTCTGACTGCAGCTCAGAATCAGGCCTTTGTGAATATCACTTCTGTTCCTAAGCTTAACTTCATAAAACTGTCCCCAAATTAAAGATGACACATTTTTATTGTGGGACACTAATGCCATGTATCTGTCCTTTTAGCAATCCTAGAGAGAGTGGGACATTTGAATAAAGGTAGACTACATTAAGTCCCTCACTAGGAGAGTTGGGAGACTTATGAAATGCCACAGAAAGTTAAATGGGAACTTCTTTTCTCAATATGGAACATTATCTTTTTCTCAAAGGAGAGGAGATCATGACTTTGTGTGTGATACAGGTATATAAATATACCTGATATAGATTTGGATATAAGAGATTGCATTTAGTGTGTTAASCAAAATGAGGATAGGTAGATATACCTGATTCTAATGTGACTTTTTAAAATAAAGTGATTTATAGAAATCCTTGAGTTTTCAAGCTTCACATTTAGGAAGAAGTTTCAATTTGCACCTCTTCTTTTTCTTTCTTTCTTTCTTTTTTTTCTTTTTGGTACCAGGGATTGAACTCAGGGGCACTTGACCACTGAGCTATATCCTCAGTCCTATTTTGTATCTTACTTAGAGACAGGGTCTTTGTGAATTGCTTAGCACCTCGCTTTTGCTGAGACTGGCTTTGAAYGCACGATCCTCCTGCCTCAGCCTCCGGAGATGCTGGGATTATAGGCATGCGCTACTGTGTCCAGCAATTTGCACCTTTTCATAGAAAAGCCTACATTTCTAAAGATGTCCTCTGTGCCAAACAATGCCTCTTGGCCTGTAGAAAACAGGCCCTGTGAGGCCTGCTTTGGATGCCCTCCCTAAATGCCTGCTCACAGAAGTGGGCACAGGGCAGTGCCCATGGGCAGAGGATCTCCGAGTTAAGGTTGCGAAGGTAGACACTGGAACGTGGAGATAAGCACAGATTTGGACAGAAATCAGCACAGTTAAGCACAGATTTGGACAGAAATTCAACTGGGAGTCTGAAAAGCTGTTGAAGCATTTCCTTGGTGTGAAATCAATAAGCTATCTCGCTAAGCTGAGGGAGCTTCAACTCACAGCCTCCTTGAGAAAGTTTGGGAGAGCCATATACAAAACAAGCCCACGTCCTTTGAGAACCTGTTAGGTTGTGCTCCTTTATTTTACCGTKTTTCACTCTTTAAAAGCTAACAGATCATTCAGGGGTCCTTTAAAGAACAAAGCATTCTTGTTAGGAGGCTTATGTAAAGCAACTGAACTGGCTCCACAAATGGTCAGTTTCRTGGACCAGTAAGTGTGGCGCTTCTCGACCTGGACTGTTTATCAGACTCCTGAGGCATTAAAAAAAAAACAAAAACAAAAACAAATGCCTGCCCTCCGCCCTGCCCTGTGAGACAAATCAACAGTGTGGGCCTGGGGCCAGGGGCAGGAAGGGTCACCAGGCCTCTTTCATGTGTCACAGGGTTTTAAAAACCTAGTCAGGGAAAGGCAAATTGGAAGGAGTCTTTGGGCTCATAAGACAGGTTTGATCTCCTAATTAGATGACCACTTCCTAATTAGATGATCTTGGGCAAGGAAACCCTTCTTGGAGTCTTAGACTCTATTTCTATAAATAGCACTGGCAGCATAAGGTGCTGGTAAGGATTTAAAACAACTTGTAAAATGCCCGATACACGGCCTGTCACATGAGGCACACTCAGTAGCAGTAATTGCTGTAGACACTGGATAATGACAATGTGGACAAACTCCTCTTCAACAGGTCCCTTAGCAAACAGCTAAGGAGTCTAGATGTTGGGCCATGAGAAGATTTGAACGAACTGTGCTCCCTTCCAGTCCCCAGGGGCAATGTCTCAGGATTTTTGCTGTGTGTTGTCAGGATTTCTCCAACACAGATGTCAGAGAGATTAGCTGGAACTATACAAGGAGGTGGTGGCAACAGATAAGGTGAGAAAAACAGAAAACATAACACAGGGTTTCTGGCCTCATCAGATCTCCCTGTTCCTTTAGGTATGCAGAGATTCAGAGGCCTGTTCCTTTAGGTATGCAGAGATTCAGAGGCCTCGTTAATCCAGGGACAGTTAATGCCCTTTATCTTTGACCTTTGAGAGATGATGACTCAGCCCTAACAGGAACATTAGAAAGCTTTGTTATGCATTTAACACAGAAAGGATGGCAAAGTCACAACTTAATAGCCTTGTGATGCCCTGGAAGCAACTTCAGATTAGGAACCAAAAATAATTAAGATGTAGACCAGCAAAGATGGCATGAGGCAAAGAAACATCCAAGGAGCTGGAAGGAGAGAAAAGAAGCATCTTGGAGGAGGAAGGGCCACATGCCAGCATATCAGGGACCCTGTTCCTCAGGAATGAGCCAGGTCAACTCCAGACAGGTCAAGGATAAAGTTATTAATGCACAAATTAATATAACTGCCCCAATATTTGAAGAAGGAAAAATCCATAATATTCAGTACTTCTCCATGTATAGCAAGGAATTCATTAGCAAAAAAGAAACATCTCATTAGAAATCAAACAATGCTGACTTAATTACAAAGAGAGACAGTCTGCCTGACAGTTCTTTTTTCCCTAATAGTCAGGAACAAGAAATTCACAAAATAGCCTTTACATGCAAGAAATGTTCAATGGCTCCAAATTATTATTGCTTGGTTGGATGCACACAAAATCCCTGGTGGTCACCACGAATCTCACATTGCGTTAGCATATCTTTATAAAYGCTGAGATTGCTCTACTCTATCTTTGGCACTGTGCATGATGCATAAGGAAGGATTTGGTGGTTTGTTTGTTTATTTTTTTCTGTCCTTTTTCTTCTATGCTTTTAGATTAGAAACCCTCGAGGCAAAAAATTATATAGTTTCTTCAATAATTAATATAGCCCTGTTCACATTTACCAGGCTGTTTATCATTTATTGCAGAAGAAGCATCGTCAAAGAATAAGCTAGAAAAGAGGAAGTTAAGGCCTCTCAAAGTTTAGCAAAAGAGTGAATGGTTCACATATTCTAGTCAGTTTTTAACTTCGGCAAAAGCAATGAAAAACAGACGATTTAAAATGTTTGCTTTAAGTGATAAGACATTAATTCTCCACATGGACTTTGGAGAAGGCAGGAAAATCGGTAGAGGAAAGTATTCTGGAAGCTGTTACCTATTTGGGTGTTATAAACTCAAAAGTTGAGTATAATATATTGACTTCTAAAATCATGAGTGTGTCCACAGGTAAGACTGTAGGCAGCCTTCAATTTCTATCAGCAGTAACAGGATGTAAACTACTAGTCCTYAAAGGCCGATGATTTATTTACTACTATAAATTTCAGCCATGATCAGTAGATACCCCTCAAGCTGCTTGGAACACTGATGTCACAGGACACGATGTGATCAGAATTCATATTTTAGATATTGAGAATGCATTTTAAGCAATAACTGCATCCAAACCTCATGTGCCAAGGCTTTCCCAAGAATATCTTAGCACTATTATTATTATTATTATGTCTTTTCATTAAACCACTGACTCCATGGATTCCTTAAGGACCTATTAAGAGAAAAGAGCATCATGATCCCCTATAAAATCAAGAAGCCAAGGAGRAACCAAAGCCCCAGTAAAAAAGAGAATAGGAGGAGTATACTGAAGGAGTTGTTTAATCATAATATTTTCAGATGATATAAACTTTTAGAATAGTATTGCAAAGCTCCAAATGATTAGTTAAAGCAATTGCAAGTTAAAGTTGAACACAAGCCAGATTTCAGATTATGTTTCCTGTTGTAACATTAAAGTCAATTATATTTTAGTGTGTGTAGACTTTATTTAAAATGTACTAGAAAAATCACTGTGAAGTAACACTTCTACCCCATTATCAGCCCACACCTCGTACCCCACCTCCAACTCTGAGGGTTTGGAATGGAGTTTGGAAGGGTAATGACATTTGGTAGATCTTACTTAATTGAATTTATTGTGCAAGTGTGTACTTTGTACCGGATTTTTAAACTATGTTGTAGAAGATAAAGTATACCTACAGCAGCCATGGAATTGAGCTGATCAATGTAGAATTCAGGCCAACTTGTAGCTCCCTTGTTTTCTTCCTGGTCCTAAAAAGGAAAGAAAAAAGAGAAAAGATGACATATCACCAGTTATCCACATACAGCATACAAAGGCCTGCACAAACCACCAGAAGACACTGAGATAGGAGACATTTATTTTTAAATTTTGGCCTTAAATCTGGGCCTCCCACTTGATTGGGGGGGGGGGTGGTCTTCCCAATCCAATTTCCACGGAAAGTGCTTAAGTCTCAGCTGGGTGTGACCGAGGACAAATGATCCCTAGATCCCATGTCTCACACTGAGGAACGTGCTGCTAGACTGAGCATCTGGAAAGAGCTCATGAGAGAAGGAAACTTGCCTCAAAAATGACCCCAGGATGCAGCCATTTGTTAGCCCAACTTGTTCTGTTTATTCAGACTTCAGTAGACAGTTAAATTTTGAAGTAGGGTTTCATTCGATGTGACTGAAACTAGGTTAGTGCTTCTGAGGAGGAGGTGGAATGAAGCCTGATGTTGAATGGAAGGTAATGAAATGGACCCAGGCCTACCACTGTGAGAGCTCAGGGACTTTGGTAGAAAATATAGTGTGCCTAAGCTGAAAAGAACTGGAATTCAGAAATCTATCCCCAAATTGCCTGAGTCGGCCTCACATCTTATAAACCAGTGTGACCTGGAGCAGGAGCTCCCAGGGTTTCTGTGGACGGAGGTCTGTCCTAGCCTGAACATAAACCTCCCCCCAAAATCAATTGGCCATGGTCTCTGCTGGACCAGATCTCAGAGATCATCAAAGGATAGCATTGAARTCAGGGATTTCTACGCATTTTTGTACACCTATGTGGCTGTAAGTCATTTGTGTGATCAAATGGCCTGAAAAGGGAAATTTCAACAATTCTTAGCTTCACATTCTGAAAGTCCCTTTGTACAATGGATATTCTGTGACCCTTAAAGAAGATGCTGTGTGCCATGTACATACACAGCTGGTATCTGGGGATGATGCTCTYTAGTCTGTTTTAGCATCTCACTTAGCAGAACTCCATTTCTGGTGTCAGAACCCCAATTCTCAGAAGAGTGGTTTCAGGTGGATCTTTTAATTTTAGTCCCATACTTTACCTCAAAGAAACACTTTCTCTAAGCAAATCTTTCCAGGCAGGCCTACTCAGGTGGGATAAAAGAAACACAATTCCCAAACTATCTTTTAAGTACTCACAACAAGGGGGCAAAATAACTATTGTTTACAGTGCTTAAAAGCTGGCAGTAACTGATAGCAGTTGTGAACATTTCATCTGGAGATGGTACAAGCCAGATGCTGGGGACAAAGGCCACAGCAGTGGCTTTGAAGCTGGGCTGGATTACACTTCCATCATTTAAAGAAGTTTAGGAAATCTGATGCGTTTTTAGAACAGCCCTTGATTATAATTTAAAGTGTTAATAAAATAGCTACAGAGGTAGTATAAACGCTGAACCCTGCTTCCCTCTTAAAAGGGAGCATTAAAATTAGCCAAACCCTGCTGTTGCCAGTGTATTTAACAAGCCAAAACCCACAGTGATATTCAACGGCATTTGAACCTATAAAATAAAATAGAAGGTGCCAGATCTTTTTATTCTCCCCAAACTAGGGCAAATTTCCAAAACAAACAAAACCAAGTCCCATGTCCAAGGTCCCACAAGAGCCTGTCTGTTTTAGGACTGATAGCCCTACTTACGGAACAGAGATGGTCTGAGAAACTGAAGACCAGTGCACAGGGAGAAAACTTCACACTTTGGAAATGTTTTAATAATGCAAACAGATTAAGAGTAGATCTAGATACTGTAGTCAAAATAAGGCAAAGCAAGCTTCTTTTTATTTCACATACCTCAGTGCTGAGAAAATCAAACACTCATAAAGAATGTGAAAGCTGCTTGTAAATGTACCAATTGTTATCACTCTGCAATGGGGGGTGAGTAAAATCCTCAGAGTACTCTTTTGGCCATGCATCTCCAGCTTTCCCTTGGGTAGTCTTGGTCCTGGTCCTTTCAGGTGAATGTGTGTGTGTGTGTGTGTGTGTGTGTGTGTGTGTGTGTGTGTGAGGGGGGGGGGAAGCCAAGGGAACTCACACGCACCTCTCTACTTCTGCTGTCTGTGGCTCTTAGAATCTATGGTTCTGCAGTGGCATGGGCCAGGAGAGAAGAATGAACTGTTCAGGAGGGGGTAAGAGGATCGTTTCATAAAGAGCACTGGACACTGAGACATGCCAAGGGGGAAGTGCTTCTAAAATGTATCATCTTCCTGAGGTAACTGGGTGCTATGTATTATGAGGTCCAGCACACATAACAGCTTATCATGGTCCAATGCTACTCTAAGCATGGTATTCTCTCTTTAAGAGCCTACCTGAGGAGGTGGTATTGCTATTACACCAATTTTACAAGAGGTAAAAGAGGTTAGATGAGTTGCTGAGGTCATACTGCTAGAAATTCAGAGGCAAAGAGGAAGAATCAGAGCAAACCCTCTCCTWAGATTAGATCTCGCATTAATCACAAGCAATATACATTTAGTGCAAAGCTGGCTTTTGTTCCTAACTGCTTTACTATAAGAGAACACAAACATGGCTAGAGGCCAAAACATRAGTTCACCTTTCCCTAAATCTCTACTTCTATTTATGCTACATTTAACATTTTTAATATAATTCCCAAACCTAATGTTTTACCCCAGGTTACCTCTTATCCCCTCTCTAGACTCTTTCTGTGGGAACTCCTTTGCCCCTTTATCAATGTTGTACCTATCTTCATACACTGGCAAATGGACTACAAATCTGTTAAACACCTCAGTCTCCATCTTCATGGAGATTCCTCAAGAAGACTTGAAAATTAGCTGTTAGCATTGAGCACTGAGCTGTCAGCATTGTTGCAGACACTGTAATTGCAAACAAACACCTCCTTAAATCACACACATCTAATCCTGCCTTTGGCTACCTCCTGTACCAATTCCATTAGAACTTTCCTCTATGAAAAAATACTGGCTTCATTCTTTTTTTTTTTTTTTAAGTTTTCCTCTCTCTCTTTTCTTAAAAAAAATATTTATTTATTTATGTTTTAGTTGTAATTGGACACAACACCTTTATATTATTTATTTATTTATATGTGGTACTGAGGATTGAACCCAGGGCCTCGCACATGCTAGGTGAGTACTCTACCGCTGAGCCACAACCCCAGCCCCCTAAGTTTTTTTTCCTTTAAAACAGATTATTGGTAACAGTTCATGACACTTAGAGAAGGTTGTCTTATGTGAATGTGAATTCTAGCATTCACATTAAATGCTCTATTTAGTCTATTTATAGAATGGATAATTCATATTAAAATCTAGTTTTGTTTCCTCTTGAAAGTATTACAAACATTGAAGTTCTGAGGCTTGTCTTCAGAAGTTCTGTTAGATAATTAGAAAAAAAGCATTTTAGGTTGTTAAATTCTCCATCGATTTATGGTTTTTGAGACTTATTGTTAGAAAGATGGTATGGTGGAAAAATGACCAGATAGTGTATCCTTAGATGGGATTCTAGAATCTCCCTTTTAATCTTCTCAGTTGTTGTTTTTGATAAGTTTGAATATCTCTGGGGTGAGTTTTCTTCTCTCCAAAATAACAGGGTGAGACCAGACTGTTTCTGAAGTTTCTACAAGTGCTAAGATTCTCCATGGCTTCAACAGCGAGCTACCACAGAAAACACAGTGTGCACGGTACTTAGCATGATGTCTAGATTTCCAACATCAATAATTTTTAAAATTTACGYTGTTCAATAACTCAGTTACATAATTGTTAATTTTCAACAGTTCCTTCCTTTGTAAGATAAAGGGGCAGGGGAGATCCCAGCATTCATTATTTTTTAATTTCTCTAATCCAGTTTTTCTTGTTTCCTTGTGAGGTAGCCAGACATCTTTAAGAGGCTCTTCATGGCTAAGATTTCCTGGGTGGATGCAATTCACCTTGGCACTGCTCATGTTTTAAGACTGCACTGAAACTACTATTTAACTTCTTCCATTATCCCAGTTTTGGGGGGTGGGTGCTAGAAAACAGAACTTGTACAGGAGAGAGGACTTTCAAGAATATTGACTTTTTTTCAATAGTCAAACTCATTTAAAAGATAAAGACATACATAGTCTTTTTATCCTTACTTCATGTCCAAATGGCACTTTTTTTAATTCATTCTAAATGGAATGGTCAGTGGCTGGTAAAAATCTTCAAGAGATCCTCCTCCATCCTCTTTAAAAAACACACAAGGGCACATGTGTTTTTCTCAAAATCATTTTGCCAATTAGAATGAATTGTGCATTGTTTCTTAGTTTTCACTCTTTCCAAAGTAAACAACCACAGCTGAGTCTGGACTTCTGTCTCTCACTTCACTGTCATCTCTCTACTGCCTCTAGTTTGACTATGTTCCACTTCTTCTCTTACCATCAAACTATATGCATTGGAATCATTAATTACTTACTAGTTATGTGAATTTTAGTCTGGCAAGGATCCTCTTTGTGACTCAGTTTTAGTTTTTTTTTTTTTTTTTTTTTTGTCTATAAGATGATTGTGCCTCTCGCATGGTCATTAGGAGGAGCTACAGAGCGAATACTAAGAAGGAAAGCACTGGGAACAGCGCACATAGAACCCGTTCAATAAATGTTAGCTATGAGGATAATGATAGCGTCAACAGTCTCCAGTTACARCCACCTAAGTACTTGTTACTGGGACTATAAAAAATTGGAGCAACCAGGGTAGAAGCAAATTTTGGCAGTGATTGTCCAAGTTTGAAAATGCATATAACCTTTGACTCTATAAATCTACTTTTAGAAACATGGCTGGTCCATAATCATATACCACAATTATGTATTCACAGATATATATCATCAAGATTTTCTCTCTGCAGCACTATCTGAATTAAAAAATGACTAAAAAAGAAAACAAACATATGGAGAGGGACATGGGTGACTAAATAACTATGCAGCAGTAACAATGAATGAAGTGCATTTATATAATAATATGAAAAAAATGACCAAATATTTTAAAGGAGGAAAGGCTTCTGAATATTA